CCCCCCCCCCCCCCCCCCCCCAATCTTGAGGTTGTTGTCGTTGCATGTTTTTTTTTTGTTAGCCCTGGGGGCCCTAGGTGCCAGCCTGAGTTGTAACCATGGTTCTGACCTAGTCGCGTAGATTGAAACCTCGCCCAGAGCCTACGTCGAATCGTTCATGGCTTCATAGAGTTATTTGAGTTTGAGGAGGGATTGAAGCATTCAGTGAATTCGGTCTTGAAGGTTCCAGGTTCAGGGGTCCACTGTGAAGAGAACGGTTTGGGTTTTGTTGAGCATGATGCACCTTCCGAAAGCCCGTACCTGTGATCTGGGATGGGCAACATCTCAGTGTCATTCCGACAGGCCCATAGCCAGTGCCAGCATTTGGTTCAGGGCCCGAGCGGCCAAGCCTCAGTTATACCCTAAACCCTAAACCCTAAAGCCTATACCCTGAAACCTAAACCCTAAGCCCTAAACCCTAAACCCCTATATAGACCTCTACTGACGGTCGGCGTAATTGGTCCATCCGGGAAAAAACGGCGATTTGGAACTCCTGCTCGAAATCCAGCACTTACCCATAGGCCCCTAAGTTGTTCCTTTTTATGGTGAATATTTAGAATCTTATAAGTGGTTTAGGGTTTAGGGTTTGTATTTAGAATCCTATAAGGTAATCCCAAAAAGGAACTACTCAGGGGCCTGTGCGTAGATTTGTAGGCATTGGGCAGTCTTAGGCAGGAGGGTGTTTTTGCGGCGGCGGTGTGCGATGAAGAGGAGATGCTGGAAGTTCGCTCCCTTTCTGGCGAGACCTGGGAGCTTGCACCCGCTGCTTTCGAGGCGCTGCCCAGAGAGCCCAACTGACCCCTTTTTTAAGGTACATTTCTTAAATCATTAATATTAAGGCCCAAAAAACTTAAGGTATATTCCTTATTTAAGGGGTATTGGGCTTTCGAGGCGCTGGTGGCTGAGCATGGAAACTCTGCAAGAACTCTGAAGAGGCGACGCGCGGGTCTTTCTGTACAGAAAGTTACCATGGAGAGACAGTGGAAAGGAGGGCGAGGGAGAGAGCGAGAGGAGAGAGAGACCGGGAGAGGGAAGGGGGCGAGTCAGAGGGAGACGGAGAGAGAGAGAGAGCGAGCGGGAGCGCGAGAGGGAGAAGCAGAGTGTGACGGAGAGGGCGAGAGAGAAAGAGAGAGAGAGAGAGAATGCGGCCGGGGATCTAACCAGTCCCCCAAGCCCTGTGGAAGAAGAAGAAGAAGAGAGAGGGAGAGAGAGAGAGAGAGACAACCCGAGAGAGATATACTAAGTTGTCACGTTGATCATCTCTTCGTGGTTTGCAGAATATTTTAGCGTCCGTCGTGTTGATGTTGCACCAACCTGCTGCAGTATTTTCTGTGCAGAAGTCCTCAGAACAACGTCAGGCATCTGCAGGGACTCGTGGGTATTCCGCGATTCAGGCAGCGTTTGCTGCAGGAGGCCCGGGTAGTGGAAGATGCTTGGCTGGCTTTGGAGATTCTACTTGGGGGTTCATGGGCAGTTATAAGTGGGGTTATAAGTAGGATAACTATATTAATTTATAATCCAAATTAGGGGACTTATAACCCCACTTATGACGACCCATGAACCCCCAAGTAGTGTTCGTCGCAGCAAACAAAAAGTCTCATACCCAGCGCTTTTGCGAAGATACTGTTTTCGTTGCCGCCATGCCTTACTGAAGATAGAACCAGGGTGAGGTCATATGTAACCTACCATCCACACATCCGCAGCCGGCACGATTGCCAGTGAGGATACCGAACAGCTGGCACTTCCCATGTCGCTGCAGCTTGTGATCCTTCCCTTCGTGCAACTTCAGGAGTGCCAAACGAGACAGACATGGACACTACCCATAGGCTCCTCAGTAGTTCCTTTTTGGGATTACCTTATAGGATTTTAAATATCAACCACAAAAAGGAACTACTTAGGAGCCAATGGGTAAATCATATACCCGAAGCCCTGAGCAATTCCAGGACAGCGAATGCAACGATGTGGCACAGGCCCTTGCGCAACAGGACCAGGACAAGCTGGAACTGCTCCTTCAGAGGCCACTCGGATGCGTGGGATAACTCCGCTGGTCATAAACCTTGCGGTTCTTGTAATTCGCCAGCGCGCGAAAGGTTTTTCAGACCGAGCAAGCGCCAAATATATCCTAAACCCTAAACCCTCAAACCCTAAAGCCCTAAACCCTAAAACCCTAAAGCCCTAAAACCCGAAAACCCTAAAGCTCTAAACCCTAAACCCTAAACCCTAAATCCCTAAACGATGATTGTCATGGCAGTGTTGACGAGGGTCGGTTGGGGGCATGGCCATGGAGATCCCGGCAATCACAATGTAGGGGCCTAAACCAGGACCCTCCTTGTACCCTCAAATAGGGGTATGTGGTCCCAAATAAGGGGTATTTAGGGTCTGATAGAGGGTAGATGGAGGGTCTAGGAATAGTTACCAACACTATGTTTTTTTTTTTTGGGGGGGGGGGCCCACAACCCTAAACCCCAAGACTTTAAACCCTGAAACCCTAAAACCCTAAAGCGCTAGATCCCCTAAAGCCCTAAACCCCAAAACCCTAAAGCCCTATAACCCTAAAACCCTAAAGCCCTAAAGCCCACTAACCCAAACCCCAAACCCATATTTCTGAAAAGCCTTTCCGAGGCCCGTGGATCCCAACACCCACGCCAGGGACGGCACGTCGCCGTTGCAACTGGGTCTTTGTCAGGGTTTAGGGCTTTAGGGCTTTGGGGTTTAGGGCTTTAGGGTCCTTCTTCTAGGGTTTTAGGGCTTTGGGGTTTTAGGGTTTTAGGGTTTGAGGGTTTAGGGCTTTAGGGCTTTAGGGTTTTAGGGTGTTAGGGTTTTAGGATTTAGGGTTTTAGGTTGTTAGGGTTTTAGGGTTCGGGTCCTGGTTGGATACAGTTTTACATTTGTTATAATTAAACCCAACAAGGGTTACCAAATGATCCTTTTTCAATATATCTCCAACGGGGGACCAGTTTTGTAGCCTAGGTTTAAGCGGTTTCGCTAGCTGCAAGTTGCTACTCGTTCCAGACTATATAAGGTTGAAGTTTCAGGACTTCAGGGATTGGAGAACGCGTTGACATGCCGGCTTTTGCTGATGGGATATATATATATATATTCTGCCACGGTTTAGGGTTTAGGGTAAGCTCGCATTTTTGTTGTGCTGTGTGATCCTGTTGCAGATTTTTTTTGGCAGATTTTTTTTGCAGCCTGATCTCCTTCCCATATGTCGGTTCAGCCAAGTGCTCAGAGAGCCCAACACCCCTTTATTAAGGAATAGACCTTAAATCATAATATGAAGGCCCTTACAATTTAAGGGCTAGCTCCTTATTTAAGGGGGATTTATTGGGCTCTCATGTTGTGTGTATGTTGAGAGCCTGAGGAGCAGAAGAAGGACCGTCATGTCACGGTCGAGCTTCAACATTCCTGCATGAGCCGGCCTGTAGTATTATCCCAAAGGGTCCAAAGTACCTATATAGTAGAATGTAGGGTTTTTATATTAGGAATTACTATTATGAGTTGGGAAAGTATCCCCCATAACAGTACCTAGGACCCTTTGGGTATGTACTGTAGTATTACGGTTGATGATCAAAATCCTGCATTACCCATAATAAGGAATATACCATAATTTCCATAGTTTAGGGTCCTTAGGGTAATGCAGGATTTTGATCATCAACAGTATGTACTCTAATTTTAATTATGATATACAAGAACTTTGCATATAATTGCATTATGTAATCTCATATGATATTGCATAATACGATTCAATATTAGCTGTTGCATATTACTGTATACTATAATATCACATACCTTATTAATAATATTCCTACTACTATCATTGTTATTGTTCTTATTGTCATTATTGTATATATATATATACATACATATATATATATATATATATCGTTATATACTATTACGTACTGTTATATGAGATCATATAGTTTTGAGAAGTAGTATATTATAGACAGTAGGTATTCGCTGAGCCTTAGTGTGAGAATGACACTGAATGAAAAGGCGCCAGCCCCCGCACAGCCGCCTTAATTGTAGCATCGCTGAAAGTAGCCCTTGCAGCAACTGTAGTCTAGCATCCCCGATGTAACTGATACAGTTTTATTGTGGCATTGTCTCTGTCGCGATTAACCCGAGGCACCGTGCCATGGACGGCCGGTATTGGGAGACTGTGCGCCTGTTGGTGGAGGCCGGGGTGGATGTGGACGAGACGTGCAGGAGTACGGGGCTGACCCCTTTGGGCAACCGAGCTGCGAACGGCCGACAGGGTGTAGGACCCTTGACCCAGGGTTGCGATGGATTTAAAGTTCTATGGGGTGCCATGCAGTCCATAGGGTGACTACAAGGGCTACTGCAAAGGTATTTATATTCATACCGATAACCCTAAACCCTAAGCCCTAAACCCCTAAGCACCTAAACCCCTGAGCCCATAAACTCTAAATCCTATAAACCCTAAACCCTAAAACCCTCAAGCCCTTCATAAGGTTGCTATAGAACGGCCCCTCCGGTCTCCACTTTTCTGAGGCAAGGCATTCTCCGAGCGTCATCTGGACATGGCCTGCTTTTTGCTGGACTGCCGGGCCCAGGTGGACAAGGTGCCGCGAAAGTGTTTAGGGTTTAGGGTTTTTGAGTTTTAGGGTTTAGGGTTTTAGGGCTTAGGTTTGAATTTAAAGCCGCTTTTGGATTTGATGATGGGTCATGCAAGCCAGGATGCAAATTGCAGAGCGGTAGTTCGTGGAAGTTGCAAGATAGATCGAGACAGTCGACAAGGAAGGTTCGGGTTCAGGGTTTAAAGTTTAGAGTGAGTTTTGAGCTATCACCGGGATTGCTGAGATTGAGTTAAACCTTAAACCCTAAACCCTAAACCCTGAACCCTAGCACTGAAGCAGACAATCCGAAACCTCAAGCAGAGACTGGAAACCCTTCACCTGCTCTTTCGGCTCTGCCCATAGGCCCCTGAGTAGTTCCTTTTTATGGGTTTATATTTAGAATTCTATAGTCGTAGGCCCTAAATATAGTTCCTCTTTATGGCTTATATTTAGAATCCTATAAGGTAATCCCAAAAAGGAACTACTTAGGGGGGCCTATGGGTGGGTCTGTGTCAGGCGCGGACGAAGGATGGCTCTACTCCTTTGCTGCTAGCTCCTCGTTGCGGAATTTGTCTGAAGCCCCGCCTCCTGAATCCGATTTATCCCAACCCAATACAAATTAAATAAGGGAATACCTGGAAATTATAGGGGCCTTAATATTATATGATTTGAGGTATATTCCTTCATTAAGCGGGTATCTTCGCGGAGCTTCTGGCCGCCCCAGGCATCCGCGGAAGGCTACCGTGACAGCGTGCAGTTGCTGGTGGCCAGCCGGGCGGCCTTAGATGTGACCCGGGATCGGGACGGCTCCACTCCGTTGCTCCGTGCCACCGAACGGGGGCATGCGCCTTTGCAGCTGCGGGGGGTTCGTGGTGATTTTGGCCGGGGGGGTGGGGGAGTGGCGCTTCAGTTGCGGGCATTAGCGTAGAATCAGGCGTGTGTATGCATACCCTAGCTGTCCGGGTACCTACTATAGAGGGTACTATATTAGAGCCCCTAGGGCCCCATATAGTAGGTACCTGGAGGGTTAGGGATAGTGTAGATTGAACGGTCGAGTTTCATGCGTGATAGATTTTGTTTGCCTGCTCTTGAAGGTTTTGACCTTTGGCATGCGACACCGCGCTGTGCTAGTCTTTAAACCACGCTGAAGCCTCGTCGTTGTACACAGGTGCATACGTTTTCTCTCGCGTCCCTTCGACAATAAAGCCTGTTGCTTGTACTATACTCGCTTTGCCTGCTTCCTTGGCAAGCTTGCGCTGAGATTAAGTGGGCTGAAGGTGAAGGTTGTGGAGCTGCTGATTGGAGCCCGGGCCAACCTGGACATTGCACGGACAGATGATGGGAAGACGCCTCTCATTCGGGCCCTGGACTGTGAGAATTCTGAGATTATACGGCTTCTGATCGAAGCCAGGTCTGACTTAGAGAAGGAGAGTGCCAAAAACGGGACAACGCCGCTGCTGCGAGCATGCGAACGGGGCCGTGCGAATCTGGTTCGACGGCTGCTGGATGCGAGAGCCGCAGCAGACCGATGCCACAGCAAGACTGGTTGGACGCCTCTGCAAACCTGTGTCACTCATCGACAGATCGATATTGCACGCATGTTGCTGGAGGCTCGTGCCGACTTGAACAAAGAAAGCACGACCGACGGCCGAACGCCTCTCCTTCGTGCGGTGGAACATGGCATTGCTGACATGGTGCAGTTTCTGGTAGAAGCCAAGGCAGATCCCTCAAATTAAGGAATATACTTTGAATCACCAAAAATATTCGGGCCCCTATGATTTGTAAGGTCTATATTCCTTATTTAAGGGGTAAGTTGGGCTCCCTGGTAGATGCCAAGGCAGATGTGCAACAAGCGCACGACGGCCGGGCACCGCTCTCCCGCGCCTCGGCTCGGGGTGACTTGACGATGGTAAGACAGCTGGTCCTTGGTCGAGCAGACCTCGATGCCGTGGCTGTAGCCCAGGGCACCACACCTCTCTTGGAAGCAGTGGAAAGTGGCCACCTTCGGACTGTGCAGTTTCTGATCGAGTCCCGAGCTGATTTGGAGAAGCCCGGCCACAATGACACGGCACCGCTTCTCCGCGCATGCGAACTGCGAAAGTACGCCTTGGTCTCCTTGCTGCTGGAGCAGAGGGCAGATGTCAACAAGAAGCGGGGAGTGGATGGCGAAACGGCCACGAGCAGGGCGCTGGCATGTGGCTACTCTGAAATCGTACGTGCACTGGCAGAGGTCCAGGCACATGCAAAGGGAGCCTGCTGGGAAGGACAATTGAAAATGCTTTGCTTTGCGCAGCGAAGCCGCTGGTAGGACTGACTTTAGGCCTCGAGCTCTCAGCTTTGCTTGCTTCAGCCTCCAGCCCCGCTTCTCGATGTGCATGTACTCAGGCCACCGGGTAGCATTGGGCATCCCGTCCTTCGACCTCTAAAATGCTTCGGTTTTTACAGCTCAGTAAAGCACACGTAAGGTGGAACACGGCTGGTGCTTC